GCATACATTTAGAAATTAAGATATTAGTGGATACTGTATTAAGCAATTAAACTAGGTGACTATCCGCGTTACACGCGGTTAAATATTTTTTCGAAATTAAATAGATTAAAAAAATATTTTTAGTTAAAAATTATTAATGATGTTCAATTTGAATTTAAATTCAATTTTTTTTATGAAATAATATCTTTTATTCTTCTCTGTTTGTTGACACTAATTTTATTTTCATTAATAATACTGACAATAACTTCATTTACAATTTAATTAACAAAAAATAATTGAATTGGTCATTGGATCCAATTTTATATCGTAATAACCAAGTACGATTTTATTGTTTCTACAAGTTTCTCCATTTCTATTGATGTTGGAGTGTCGACTTTGTCGTTAACACATTACATCAAAATACTACTACTGTGTGTAAATTCTTTTTAAACTTGAAAATTTGACAAAATAAAACACGATATATTGTTATCAATTGTGTTCAATATCCATTTGCTTAAACCCGTGTGAATTATTTTATTTTTGAATAACAATATCTAAAACAAAAATATTTACTGTGAATAATATTATTTTTTGTTAGATTTAATTGCGAATTTGGACACTTAGATTTGATTTTTTTTTAAGTTTACTTAAATTGTAAAGATATTGATATTGATATTTTGTTATTTTCTTATAACTTTATATATAAAAGATGAAGTTTACTATAGAAATAGAAATGATCTAGACCAATAGCTTAAAGAGTACTTGTTTATTAAATAAATATGTACAGCTAAACATTAATTAGGGCTCACTTGGTTACAATAAATAAAAACCAAACCCTAGTTTTGTTAGTGTGCTCGGCAAGTAAACGCATACATGGATACGCCTGAGGATTGGTCCAACCTTTGTCCCGATCTTCTGCGAAAGATCTTCGAATCCTTGACCCCTATTGATTCCCACCAAGCGAAAATCGTTTGCTCAGCTTGGTATTCCGTTTGGAAAACATGTTTGAATCGGCCTCCATGTCCATTACGTATCATACACCAAGGTGATTCATTGAATCACAAACAAGAAAGTAAGTTTTATGTAAAACTCTTCCAACTCACCCACAAAAGGATCGCTAGCTACGGGAGTTGGCTCCTGATGGTTAATTATCAGCTCAATTTCCATCTTTTGAACATGTGAAAGGGTTAATCTTCCATCAATGAGCTCGCTAATTCGTTACAAAGAAGATCACGTTTCAAAAAGCATCTTTGGATGCAAGAACTCAGCTGTTTTGTGGATAAACGAGAGAACAGGTGATAATGTCGTTGCTTTGATTTTCAGACAGCATAAATTATTCTCACTCAAGAAAAGGAGATGATTCATGGCGGAATTTGAAATTCAAAGGCACAAGTTCAGGGTTTATGGATTTGGCCACAAGTGTTTATTTCACATGGCCTAGGAAATCATGTGTTTATTATATAAATGAAACTCAGTGGTTTGTTCCAGGAGTTGCTTATTAGGCTTTAAGTTTTCTTCAATTTTGATAAAGTAATGTTGCAACTTTCTTTTCTTTTTTTTTAGTTTGATATTTGAGTGATTTATAATGGTAACACATTGATTTTTGTAACCGATTTAGCATGATTTGTAGTGAAAAAATTTCAAGTGGTAGCAAACTTCCACAAAGAGAAAAAATAAATGACAAGATTTTGGCAGTCGTTGAGGGTCTTAACGCAACTCGAGATTTTATATATTTTTGTATACAGAATTGTAATATAAAAATATAACAAAATTATTGGGAAGGAGAAGTTGTCTCTATCTGGATCTGCTAATAGAATCACAACCACAAACAAATTCTGAATCTCTCCCAATCAAATGGGACTCTTAAAGCAAAGAAGTAAAAGTATTTCTTTCTTTCTTGTGATGTCTCTGTTCTCTGTTCTTCCTCAGAGTTAGGACAAAATCTTTGAAAAGGTAATAGTAATCTCTTTCAAGAAACCCACTAGTCAAACTTCTTTACTTTTTTTTTAGTCTCTCTTCTTATTACAAAAGATTTTGTCTCCTGTGTTATTGATGGCTGTCCAAAAGATTCTTGAATGATTTCTTTTCAAGAAATCAAAGACAAGATTATGTCAGAGCCGTTGACTTTAAAACTGGCAAAAGGAATCATATCTGAACGCAAATCAAGAGATTTCTCAAATTTATATTATAAATTTGTGGAAGGACTTGTCTCTATCTTGATCTGCCATTAGCATCTCTATCTCCCAATCAATTGGGAAATTAATAAGCAAACCAAAACTTTCAACTTGTTTCTCTCTTTGTCTTCTTTTTTCTGTTCTCTGGTTTATATGTTCTTCCTCAAAAGTTAGGACCAAAAGCTTCCAAAAGGTACTCATCTCTTGTATGTCTTTCTTTTGTGGTCTCTTGTTCTTAATTGCTTCTTTAGAAACCCAAAAGATTTGTCTATTTTAAGTTTTTTTTCTTCTTCTGAGATCTTTAATGATCTTTAACAGAAGTACAAATCTCAAGTCTACTTTGATCGATCTTTCATTTGTAATTAGACCAGAGTGTTTGCCTTAGATAGAGGAAAGAAATGAAAGTTAGTGAAACATAGGTTTGAGTTTCGTGTAGATCTTCTTGTGTCAACATGTGTATTGTGTTCTGTTCTTAGAACCTTCCTCTAACTCAACTGACCAAAGATTTTTCCATCTTTATTACTTTGATGCAGCGGTTTTTCGTGATTCTTAAGTGTATATATATTGAGAGAGAGATGTATATGATAGAGAGTAAAGGAGGAGCAATCACTTGTATGCTCTTGGCTTTGCTCTTCTTAGGGACATGGCCAGCGATAATGACTCTAACCGAAAGACGAGGAAGACTTCCTCAACATACTTACCTTGACTACACACTCACAAATCTATTAGCTGCAGTGATCATTGCGCTTACACTCGGCCAAATGGGTCCAAGCAGACCAAATTTCAGCACACAGCTTTCTCAAGTCAGTTACATAAATCTCTTTCAAAACCTTGCAGCTATTTATGTTTGCGGTATTTGAAAGGCGGTCTTTTTTATCACAGGATAATTGGCAGTCTGTGATGTTTGCAGTGGCTGGTGGAATTGTTCTTAGCCTTGGAAACTTAGCAACACAATATGCTTGGGCTTTTGTTGGTTTATCAGTCACTGAAGTCATTACAGCGAGTATCACCGTTGTTATCGGTAAACGCTTCTTTTCCTTTCAACTACTTTTAACTGATTCTTTCCTTCTTCTCATGAGCTTTGTGTTACTTTTGCATAGGCACAACTTTGAACTATTTCTTGGATGATAGAATCAACAGAGCTGAGGTTCTTTTCCCGGGAGTGGCTTGTTTCTTGATCGCTGTTTGTCTCGGCTCTGCTGTTCATAAATCAAATGCAGCTGATAACAAATCCAAACTCCAAGATTTCGAAAGGTTAAAAAACGTTCACACTTTCTTGATCATGTTTTGGCTTGGTTTGGTTTTAAACTAATCTTGAACTTGTTTCAGTTTAGAGACTACTTCTTCCTTCCAAAAGGAGACAGATCTTGAAAACAACGGGTTAGCGAAAGGGAAAGCAAAAGAAGGGACTGCAGCTTTTCTCATTGAGCTTGAGAAACAAAGAGCCATAAAGGTTGAAAGTTGAAACAAGCTTTGCCTTTTCCTTAAACTGATGTAATCTCTGAAAATTCAAGATTTGCATTGACAGGTCTTTGGGAAAAGCACAGTAATTGGACTGGCAATAACTTTCTTTGCCGGTATCTGTTTCTCTCTATTCTCACCTGCATTCAACTTAGCGACAAACGATCAGTGGCACACATTGAAACATGGAGTTCCAAAACTCAATGTCTACACCGCCTTCTTCTACTTCTCGATCTCTGCATTTGTGGTTGCTCTGATACTTAACATAAGATTTCTCTATTGGCCTATTCTTGGACTCCCAAAATCTTCTTTCAAGGCTTACCTAAATGACTGGAACGGTCGAGGCTGGTCTTTCTTAGCTGGTTTTCTCTGTGGATTCGGCAATGGTCTTCAGTTTATGGGCGGTCAAGCCGCTGGCTACGCAGCTGCAGACGCTGTTCAGGTTTAGACTAAAAACATACTCTCTGTTCAATGAATTAAGAGTGAAACAAAAATGCATATCTTTTACTTTGATTTTGATGTGTTTCAGGCACTTCCACTTGTGAGCACGTTTTGGGGGATATTGCTGTTTGGAGAATACAGGAGATCATCAAGAAGAACATATACACTTCTTATTAGTATGCTCTTTATGTTCATAGTTGCAGTCACGGTTCTTATGGCCTCATCGGGACATAGAAAATGATTTGTAAAGTCAATTCAGTGAATTCACAGATACATCTACAAGCTAAACTACTAAAAAGATCACAATCCAGTGATCTTGATCTCCACCAAAAACAATGTACCCATGATTCTGTCCAACACAGTCTTACTACCCGTTCTCATGCCTTCGATTGCTAAGAGCCTCTGAAGCAGACGTGTAACCAATGTGAATTCATTTATACTATACCAGTTCAACTGTTCATCGACGATTCTGTCCAGATCTCTAAAAGCTCTCCTCACAAGACCAACTTCCATTCTTCTTACCACAAGCTTTCTCACTGATTCAATCATCATATTTTCAATCTCTCTCACAGTTTCAGTGTGGCTTGTGATCTCTGTCATCTGAATCATCAAGCAGAAAGCGCCTTTAAACGCCAAGACCCAGCAAATGTTATCTACCAATAGTCCTCTTTGTGGGTCTAGCCTAGTCCTTATCTCAGGAAGAAGATTCTCAATCACAGGAATCACAAAATGTTGATCATCTAGTGCCATTGTTAAGCATGTGAAGATATAACATCCTCTACTGAACTCTGTTTGACAATACGATGTAATGTAATCGCGTAGTTCCATCCATTCGTCTTCCTGAACATTGAATATCTCCATTGCAACGTGGTTCACGACCTCGCTGAGTATCTTAAACGTGTTTTCAGGGATTCCTTCTTTCTTTAGGCAAGAGATAAGCAATGGCTGGAGTTTCCTGATCACTGAAATGTCGATTAACGCCTTTTTCAAAGTGTTAAGTGTAAGTAAAACATTGAGTCTTCTCATTGCGACCTCTAACGCCGAACCTTCAAGCTCCTTTACCATTCCAAAGATCTCCAAAGGTGACAAGGAACTCAAAAACTTGTACCATTGACGTCCATGATCTTTAATCACCTCCGATTCAACGAGAAACGGGCAGAATTTCAAACCGCGATTCGCCAGTTCCGCACCTAACTTCGACACAAACGCACTTTCTTGGTCATTGTATACACACAGCTTCGAATCTTGCGCTAAGAACTTCCCGAGTTCTTGAAGCCGTCGTGTTAGAGAAGACTCTAACATTCTCTTCTTCCTCACTAACTCATCTACTGACTTGAGAACAATCTCAAGAATCTTCCTTCTCGTTCCTGAATTCAAGACCTGAATCCCTAATTTCACAAGAGTCTCTGAAGCCAATATCCAATCCTCTTCTCTATCTAGCTCAAAATTCGACATTACGAACAACTCCGCTTTCTCGATGATTTTCGACAAGAATCGTCTGATAAATCCAGTATCGACTCGTGGTGGCAAACCGAGAAACACATTGAAAGCTCTTAACGGATCGGTATCTGCAACTGAGAGTATACAATCACTAAGCTCGTCCCAATCCCATCCACCATTAGCAACATTGTTGTAAGCGACGAAAGAGACGATGATTCGGAGGATCTTGGAGTCAGATTCTTTAGCTTTTGGCGATCTCAAGCAAGAGATTACAAGGGGTTTGATTTCTTCGAGAGCTAACGGAGAGAGTTCGAAGCCGCGAGTTCTTAATCCGGTGAGAGTTTCGGAGAGGAGATAGATTGATCGGAATCTGATTACGTCTCTTGAAGAAGAAGATTGATAAACTTTGAGAAGCATTTGAGTTAAGAGAATAGGGTCATTGATAAACCACGAGTCGTAAATTGCTTTCGCTGTTTGTTGTTCTTCTGTTTCGCTGAAGAGTTGTTCGAGAACGTAATCAAGTTCCTTAGCTTTCGACATGAGAGTAGAAGATTCCGCCATTGAATCTTCATCTTCTTCTGTCATTTTCCCGAGAAAATTTCGGATTTTAGAATCTTCTGGAAAATGAAATTGGTTCGAGATTTCTTGAAAGGGGTTGGGTAATTTATACCAAAACCTGAATCTAAACCGGAGCGAATCTAAATCAAATTGAATCTTTTGGTTTGATAGCTGACTGCATATAAGTCCAAATTCTACTTAACCGAACGGATCAAACCGAAACCCAACATTAATTCCACACGTGGAACAATATTTTTCTGTGGGAACTTTTTTGTGTTAATGAATTCTTTAACACAAAATTTAGGTCAATTTTCAGTAGGTTGACCAACATTTTAAAATGTGTTCAGTAAATATAATTCGATTTCAATTCAAATCATCATTGATTCCATAACCGATATATATGGTATCACATTTTATATCCACAAAACTAAATTCAACCCAACTGAAAACATTTATCTGAAACTAGGCCTTTAAATTTGAAGTAGAATTTTGGTTTTTGGTTTTTGAGTATATATATATGTAATTTAGAATCATAGTTTTTGATCGATATCAACAAAGAGAAAAAAAAACACTTAATTGTAATTTGTTGGATTTAGTGTACATTAGAATTAGCTATTATATCGAAAAATTCATCATGAAGAAGTTATGTGACATATGGACGATCAGATGGAATTGGAGACAGCAAACGCCGCAGTATAGAAGCATGTTCGGGAAATTTAGATATCCATTCGGCAAGTTGGTTATCTTTCGTCTTCAACTTGGTTAGAATTTGGTATCTCACCATGCCGGTTCCAAAAGGGTGCCAAAGTTCGAAGAAAGAAAACCCCTAAGCTATAAATGTCAACCTACAACTCAAAACATCATTTAGAAACACATAAATTTAAATAAGAAGAGAATCAATCTTGAAGAGCAGAACAAAGAACATATTCAAACAAACATTTCCTTGATGAAACACAGCTAAGATACAAACAGCTACTAACATTTTGACCAATCTTAGGCAAACCTTGATCAAATTCAGATGCTCTACAAAGGTAAGCACCGTGTTCACCAGTATTTTCAGCTCCACTTCTAGACACATCAAAATTTTAATCCGATTGTTCATGTTTCAAGAACTTTGCTGATTATCACATATATATAATGAGATTCATACGTCAACTACCCTCAGAACTTTTGGGTAATCAAAAGAAAAAATTTAGCATAGCAAGTAACATGTCTTCATTGCAGACATACCAAAAAATTAAAGTGAAGAAGATCATAAAGTAGAAAAAATACCAAGACCAAAATCCTATATTTTGACATCATACTTGGAACCAAAGAAGGTGCCAAATCCCGACGAATGATTGCGTTTTCATGTATGTGAGCTAGGCCATCGACAATTTGACAAATTGTGAACCATGAAAAATCTTTTTTGAAGCTATAATTGTTTTCTAAGTGTTGGTGGAGAATCTTTGAACTCAATATGCACATGAAACTCATTGGTATATTTTCCAAACATTATCCGTTGAAACTCTTTGTTGGCAGGTAAAGGTGGTTTCGGTCGTATTATGCTATGTGAAAATAAACTAGATAAAGGACAATATGCAGTGAAGATAATTCCACTGACGAAGAACAAAGAGATGCTCTTCTTACAAAGAGATACGTCAAAGTAGAATGGAATTAGAAGCTGTTTAACAGAAGTAATCACACTCTCCGGTTTGCAGCATCAACATGTTGTTCGTTACTATCAGGTAAAGGTTATTTATGTTCTTCTTAATTTTCTACTCATTAATGGCTACTCTTAGTGAAATATGCGCATATTGGATACCAGTCATGTGTACATATGCTATACATATGGTCTAATTCTATCAAAGTCCTTATTCACCACACTGTTCATATAGATTATGGAATTCCTATTGTTGTCTTAGACTCTTAGTGCCATTCCTTTGCCTAAATTCTGTTTGTTAACGATTCTATTTTTCATGGCGATGTGCATGGATTGAAGAAGGATCTGTTGATTTTGATGAGGACTTCAAGAGCATTACCAACTAAAATTCCTGAGCATGTTGACTATCTATATATACAAATGGAGTATTATCCGATGTAAGAGGTTTATTTAAGTTACTTATAAGTTTGTTAGTTTTCTGTGCTTAGTAAGTTACATATTTCTGTAGCTTATTCTTACCTTGTCTTTCCTCTTCTTTATGAAGGACTCTCCGATCATTTACAAGGTTATAAATTCGATGAAGATTTTGCATGGAGGAAAATTCATCAGATTGCACAAGGCTTAGGTCTCATACATGATAATGGTACTGTTCATCGTGATTTAACGCCTAAGAACATCTTTTTTGACGCTAAGGGTGATGTCAAAATTGGAGACTTTGGTCTTGGTATGTTTCTCAACTGTACGGTCTTCTTATACTTCAATTTTTTTGCTATGTCTGCAACTATTTGACATGATGTATGAGTACACTGTTATCAGCAAAATTTCTAAAACAAAATGTGGATGAAGATGTGGATGTGGCTGGAAGTAGAGCGGAAAATACCCGCAGTGAAGACGGAGCCTTCTATTACAAAGCACCTGAAATTGGTGATCATAGCGTGAGTACGATGGATCAAAAGGTGTTTATATTTTAGTTGATGAACTCAAGGAAAGGATTGTTTGAGAGT